GTGTAATAAATCACTCATTGAATGAATTAGTAAGTGAAAACATAAATTGATTTAGCAAATAAATACTAAACCAGATGTTTAGCAGTGTGAATTCAGAAATTAAAAAGAAGTCTCTTGCCTCATCAGACTCAAATTCTAATGCTAGAGAAAGCCAGATATAGGCTGTGAAGAATACAGAAGTATTAAAAAATAGAGAATGATGGAAGTTTCAGTTTAAATTGGTGGTCAGAAAAAGCCTCGTAGAAGAGGTGATATCTAAGTAGAGACCTCAGTTAAATTCCAGCCTGAGAGCTCAGCCAATTTAAATTCTCAAAGAGGAATATGATTAGAATGCTCAAGAAACAGCAGAAGAGGCCAGCATGGCTGGAGGGTGGTGAATAAGAAGAATGTGATAGGAGATGGGGTTGGCAGACAGGCCAGATCACATTTGGCCCTGATAAAAATTTTGGACTTTATTCTAAGAGTGATGGGAGGCCAAATGTAGAGTTTGAAGCAAGAGAATAAGGTGATGTGATTTGTCTTTTGCCAAGCTAAATCTGTCTGTTGTGTGTGATACTAAAAGAGGCAAGAATGGAAATAGTGAAAATAATTAGAAGGCTCTTTTTTTTTTTTATTGAGTTTATTGGTACATTTAGGGATACAGTACAGTTACATTCATTGTTGGGATCATGTACCTTTACATGGCTCTTTTAATAGCCCAGTTGAGAAGATGGTGGCTTTCACTAGCATAAGCCAAATAATTTATATGGTACTATGAGAATGGGAGCTGGACATAAGCTGTTAACATTGATAAGCCTCCAACCTAACCATTCAAGTAGATAAAAATGTAAATGTAAGGTACATGTATGTGGTGGAATATTGGGCTAAGAAATTAAAGAACTTGTTTCTCATTTCCAGCTATATTTTTAAATAAGTATGTGACCTTATGGAAGTCTCTTAAATTTTGTGGGCTTCAGTTGTTGTTTTTGCAGATATAAAATGGTCAGCTGAGTTCCATTACTTTCCACCTGTAAAAGTTCTTCATTTTGTAATTCTGTGAAACAGTAAATATATTCCAAATATTTACTGTGTTTTAAATATAGAATAAAAAGTTCTTTAGTAGATTGAGAAGTACTACAAAACATTCTTGCCCATGATGTACTTATATGTATAATATTAAAATAAGTGCTCACAGTGTGGATCATAAATTTAAATGCAAGTATGGGTAATTAGATTGTAAATTCTACAAAAGTTTGAAAAAGAAGATAATTAACAAGGACTGAATTATCCATGGATATAACAGATACTTGGTCAATAGACTTTACGTAATGGCTAGAGGGGAAAAATATCCTGGGTAGAGAGGAAGACTAAAGAGCATAAAATCATGTGGGATTTTGATGGAAGAAGATTCATTTAAGGTCAGCCTATCTACAATGGAGTATATATGAATAATGTGAAAAAATAGAATTGGCAAGATAGAATGAGATAAGAACATAAAGGACATTAAAATGTAGACAGAAATATTTAACTTTCTTGAAATGGGAGCCATTATATATTTTTTAGTAGAAGAATATTGTGATACAAATAGTATGTAAGAAAGATTAGTATAGTATTGTGTAATTTTAGGAAGGTGTGAAACTACCTTTTTTTAGATAGTTGCAGACATTTTGCATAGCTTTCTCATTTAATCATCATAACACCAGTGGAAGAAACTAAAGTTCAAAGAGATGGTTTGCCTAAAGTGCTAATGCCTAGTAAGTGATTTAAAAGGATTTTTAAAAATTAGTATCTGCCTGATTCTAGAAGGTTAGATTGGAGAATCTTGATCCACAAGACATTAACTTGCAGTACCCCAGGTTTAAGATAAGGAATAATATACTCATTGGCTGTAGGAATGGGAGAGGTGAAGATGAAATTTAATTTTTTCTGAAGTACTTTTGGCTGATTGTGTATAGGGAGTGAAAGAAAAAATGAATGTAATAAGTTGCTCTGTTACCCTTGGGAAGTTAGTGAAAATTGCCATGGTGGTCATTGGGGACTGAGAAGGAAGGAGGGACTAGAATGATAGATAGAATAATATCTAATTTGAGAATGTTGAGTTTTGGATGACATTAAGCATTTAAGTAGTTAAGACATAGTTGAAAGCATGACAGTGAAGAGGGCTTCTAAGAGAGAAAGGGCCATGAAAGAAAAGGACTTTGAGAAATAATGCCTAAACTTATTCTACAGATTTAGGAAAGGAGGGTGATCAAGTAGCCATCCAAATACTGTTATTTCAAATCTCTCAAGTTGCTGAGACATGATTGATATTCCTATGATATATCTGTGTTTTGTGTTTTGACCTCTGTCAGACTCAATATTGTTTGTATGTTTCTATTGAAGTGAAATATAAATAAATAAATATATATATATATTAATTTTAGTACATGAACAAGTTTTTTCAAACTGTAGATTCTTGGTTCTCTCAAAAGGATTTGTTATTTTTATGACTGTATTCTAGTACATCTGTTGGTAAGTGTTCTAAGGAGCATGTTCTATTTATACTTGTATTACTAAGTTGCTTCTTCTGTGAAGCATTTAAAAGATAATGGCTGGGATATGACAACAAAAGCAAAGGCAAAGCAAAAAGGAAATTGGGCTTCACTAGAATTAAAAACTTATTTATCAAAAGATACTATCAGTGAAATGAAAAGGCAATGTACAGAATGAGAGAAAATATTTACAAATCATACATCTGATAAGGGGTTAACATCCAGAATATCTTATTCCAGAATATGTGACAAGTGCATGGTAACTCCCCCCAAGAAAAACAGTCCACTTAAAAAGTGGGCATAGAACTTAAATAAACATTTTTTCCAAAGAAGATACACAAATGACCAGTGAGTGTGAAAAATGACTCTATATCACTGTTAGAGAAATACAGACAAAAGCATGGTGAGATATCACTTCAGATCCATTAAGACAGCTATTATTTTTTTAATAGAAAATAAGTGCTGACAAGAATGTAGAAAGATTGGAACCTTGGGCATTGCTGTAAAAGGTAAGATGGCACAGCTACTGTGGTGAACAGTTCCATGGTTCCTCAAAAATTAAACAGTTACCATATGATCCAGCAGTTCCACTTTCAGTTACATGCCCAGAACAATTGAAAGAAGACTCCAAATAGATACATATGCTTTAGTTCGGAGCAGCACTATTCAAAGTACCCAAATACCCATCAACAAATGAGCAGGAAACAAAATGTGGTATATACATACAATGGAATATCTTTCATCATTACAAAGGAATGTTTCAACACAATCTTGTAAAGCATATGCTAAGTGAATAAGCCAGACGCAAAAGAGCATCTATTTTATGATCCTACTTATATGAAGTATCTAAAACAGGCAAGTTCACTGGGACGAAAATATAATAGAGGTCAGCAGGGGCTGGTGAAAGATGGGAGATGAGGAAGTATTGATTTAGGGATACAGAATTTCTGTGTGGGATGATGAAAAAGTTATAGAGATGTATAGTGGCGGTGGTCGTACAAGATCGTGGATGTACTTAGTGCATGAAACTATACACTTAAAAGTTGTTAAAATGGTAATTTTTATCACAATTTAAGAGAAAAAACTATTGGCTATTATAGAAGTTATAAACATTGTTGTCTGTTGTAAGGGAAAGTGTCAACATATTCTATCTTTTTTTTTTCCTTTTTATTGAGGTTATTGGTACAATCTAGGTATACAGATACAGTTACATTCATCATTGGGATTCTGTACCTTTACATAATAGGTCTTGATTCTCATTTTTCCCCTTGTCCCTGCCCTCCCTTCACCCCCTCCTCCCCTCCCCATTTACAAACACTTTATTTCCATTTTTTCAGTTTCTCATATTTTTTCCTCTCCCTTATTACCTTTACCCCACCCTTCCCACTTTTCTTACACCTTTAGCCCTTTACTTCCTATTTCACATTATTAATTATCTCATTAGGATCCTGTGTACTATTATAGTTTTTCACACCAAAGAAACTACTCGATATTTCAGTTAAAGAAATCTCTGAACATTAAAAATAGGGAATCCTAAAATAAAACTAAAAAGGAAAGTAAAAGAGAAAAGGCAATGATGTAACATCAAAATAATCCTTAATTCTGGAGATGAACATGGTCCCTGAACGTATTTAAAGTGCTTCTCGCTCTTATAGTCTTATC